AGGGTCTGGAATTCGACTTGGAAATCGGTACAAAGAAACGAGAAAGATCAATGAGGGACCTCCGATCGCGTGTGGGTACAATTTATGAATCATTAAGGGAACCAGCGGACCTCGTAAAATTGAACACTTTCAAGGACAGCTTGGAAACTGACTTAAACGCCTTTCAAGCCGCACAGGAAAACGTGACCGATCTTTTGATCAGATTAGAACTTCCGCACAGGGAACAATTAATACATGACGAGTTTCTCGGCGTAAACAATGCGGCGCTAGAATGTTTAGCGGACATCAAGGTAAGAATCCAAGATCAAGAAATGGAAAGAGCTGAGCTCATTTCTCAAAAATCACTACGCTCCAGAAAATCATCGCCGTCAACGACTTCTTCAAGGCGAGCGGCAATCGAAACCGCAAAGATTAAGGCAAAATTGGACACACTTAAAAGGCGACAGGAAATTGAAAGGCGGCGTGACGAATTAAAATTTCAAGAAAAGGAACTCGAGCGCTTAGATGAGCGAGAAGGATTGCATGGAGAACTTTCCGCGGCCGAAGCGATTCAAAGGATTCTGCAAGAATCGGAATTTAACGATACAATTGCTTTGCGAGAAGCCACGGAAAACTCGCTCGAGCAAACCAAAAAACAAGGAATTTCCGACCCCAAGCCAGTCGGTCAGCCACAAGCGGAAAGGATTTCCCGCGAGGAAATTGAAGGAAAATATATCAAAGTTAACGACCCAATTGTAGCCAGAACGCCAAAACAATCACCAGGCACAAGCGAAAATTTCGCAAATACAAGCGCGGGAACATCGCCTCACTTACCCTCGCGACTTGGCGTCGACACGCCCCTTGTCCATCGAGAAACTAATCAATCTTCGAGGAGAACCGAATCATCAGAGCAGCACTACAATTCCCAAATTTGGCGTATACAGGAAGAAAATGCGGAAATACAGAAAACGCAAGTCGAATTACTGCGAAGGATGACAGTTCCGGTCCCCAAGCCTCCAGTTTTCGACGGAAACATCTTAGAGTACCCAAAATGGGAAAACGCCTTCGACGCACTGATCGAAGATCAAGTTGTTCGCCCCAACTACAAGCTTTACTATTTAGGCGAATACACGCGTGGAGCAGCGCAAAAAACGATCAGTGGATTGCTAGGGTTGAGAACCGAAGACGCTTACAAGAGAGCAAGAAAAACCCTGAAAGAACGCTTCGGAGACCCTTTCAGGATCTACGAAGCATACAGAGATAAACTGAGAAATTGGACGCCATGCGTGACAAGCGCAGACCTGCAAGAATTTAGTGATTTTCTAATCATGACACAGGAAACGATGAAATCGTCGAGGATGGAAGTATTCAGCTTCCAGTAGCCTGGGCCAGGTGGAACAGCATCGGGAACAGACAGAGATAAACACAAACCGCGATGGTCCGAAAACGGACAGACATACACGGAACAAGACGACACTGATGGGACCCACGCAAATGGGACCCCAAAAAGGTCAATACGCGACGCTAAACTGCCATTCCACCTGGTCCAGGTGAACCCAGGAGTAGTGGGGTGGAGATAACGCCAGATGTCAATGACGCAGGACGCCTCAAAAAGATGGTTTAGTGTGGGAGAACTATCTCCAGACAAGGAGGCGGGGTCTGGGCCACGCCTATCTCGAGCCCTATCAAATACAGCATTGAAATCTCCAGCAAGGACCGTAGGGATGGAAGGGTCGATCCTTGAATGAAGGCCATCGAAAAACAGGTCTCGTGCAGGGTTGCAATTAGGAGCATAGACACAGACAACTCGGAAAATTTTATCATGAAACGAGAATTCACATTGTAAGAAACGACCATCAGCAGACCAAGACTTTAGAAGGGAGATAGAGGGACGATAGAGAACAACACACCCACAAGAGTGAATAGAACCCGGGGCTAGCACAGACAAGAAACCAGACGAGGAAAACCACGATGAACATTCAGTTAAGGAAACACAATGAGTCTCCTGAAGGCAGATAACATCCACCTTCACCGGGAGAGAGCGCAACCATTGCACGAGACCATCACGCTTCGACCGGTCCCTGATGCCATTGACATTCAAAGTAAGGAGAGACAAAGCCATGAGGAAGAGATGGATGACCCTCATGAAAGCCAGGGCTGGGGCTGGGGTTTCCCCTTCCTACTGGGAAGATTGGGGACAGCCCTCGTACGCTTAGAGACCGTACTCGCCAACTGAGTATGAGAAGGAACCATGACACGTTTCTTAGAGCGTTTCCTGGAGACAACTTCAAAACCGTCCGATGACATGCTCCTCGTGAGAGGAGAGGAGAATTCAGAAATATCAGGAGACTCTGAGCCCTGAACAGGGGTAGAGTCCTGAGAGGAGAATTCGGTGATATCATCATCGACATTAGTGACACTTTGGCCAACACTAGTATTAGTGGTACTTTGACCAGACTTAACTATTTTACTGGTACTTTGACCAAACTTAACTAATTTACTGGTACTTTGACCAGACTTAACTATTTCACTGGTACTTTGACCAGACTTAACTAAAGAACTGGTACTTTGACCAGACTTAACATTATCAATAAATAATTCACACCATAATTGATTTCAT